TTAAAGGCACGTCCATGTGGAGATGGCGAGTCAGCGTCGGCATTCAGCAACCTCATCTATGCACCCAACACTGACTCAGAAAGCACTAGTTTATTAATAAATAATTAAAATGTCTTTTTTTCCCCCGACAAGTTCATAATCACTTTGCCGGTGCTTTGAGGCAATTGCTTTATGGTCGAGCTTGAGCGCGGAATAGGCTCTAGCCTAATACGTCTGCCTATAGCCTATATTGAAGTATGGCGCTTATAAATTATATATTTAATAATTCATATATTATTATATTAATCAATTTAATATAACGTGCGACTAGTTGACTAGAAAAATCTTTAGTAGAGGGCAGGCCTATACTTAGCACAAGGAAGCTCTCCATTTTTAAAATAAAATGCTATAGCCTAATGACATTACGAAAAGTGCGACAGCTGCAAATCACATCGTTATTGCACTGCACGAGTTATGCATGCATAAGGAGTCCAAAAAAATGTTTTATCACCCTAATTAGATTATGAAGAATGATTTATTGATCTTGTTTTCCCTTTAATACATAGCCTACCTTCCGCAATATATTTTTCAATTACTTTCAAAAAGTGGTAGGGACAATATCGACCCTGGCAAAAAGTGGTGGGGACATGTCCCACTCGTCCCACCCGCAAATTACGCCTATGCCTCAGAGCCAGATTACAACTATTTGTTCAACTATCAGCTGATTTTCACATGCATGACGTGATTTTATGCCTAAAGTTAGAATTACGGCCAGTGACAGAAAAAAACTTAATATTTTCTGCTAAATCTGTGGGTTTTTCACTACATCCAAACAGTGACAGAAAATTACGGACTTTATGAAAAAAGGAAAGAATTTCTTTGAAACTAAATGTCTTTCTTTGAGTACTTTAACTTTTTTTTTTCACTCCTTTGCAGATTGTAAGTTAAATTAAACATATTTCATATTTCTTTTTGTCATTAAAACTAAACTGAAACTTTTAACATTTGACTGCTTTTGATTTTGTTAAATTACCCCATGATTTACTCATCCTCAAGCCATCCTAGGTGTAT